CGAGCAGCTGAAGCTCCAATGTGGTGGAATTCTGAAAATTGTGAAAGAAAAAACGCTAATGGCAATGCAGAGGTCGCGCAGCTAAAACTACAGTAACCTAAAAATGATTCTTTTTTATCCATGACTTTTTAAAATTGTCTAGTGAAACAACACGAAGCCCCAAGATTTTGGGGTGGCCCTATACTTATGTTACGCACTGTACTTGTATAAGCATTCAAAAAACTTCAAAAATACCTCTAAAATTTAGACGTTTTTACACCGGTTGGCTGTGAGGGAAGGTCTCGAAACGAAAACTACCGTAACCCCTAGAAAAAATTGAAATCTCTAGTTTTTGAACTATTTTCTTCCAAACTCATCGAAATAGAACCATTCACAAGTTTTTTTGACAGTGGGAAAACTTCCGATAAACTGATAAAATTCCAGAGAGTGTGTAAAATAGAGACGCCGAGCTGCAAACGCGCTCCATTGCTAAATTAAGCACATATCGTCATACTTCGGTGTCATATACAAGCAGTTTCTTTGATAGGCTCAATTTTGTCAATGCTGAACGTTAATGAGCACCAGATGTTTAAAAAACTCCCTTTTTTGACGTCAAGAATTCTTTCACTGAATTCAAATTTTCATTTTTAATCTTAAAATATACTTTGAAACAGTGAAAAATGTTATAGTGTTTTGAATTCAAAATGTTCAGCAATTAGCAAATCAAAAATTTGAAATTTCCAGATTTATATAACTAGAAAAATGACAACGTTTGAAAAAAAATTTAAATAAGATTGCAATAGATAGTTTTGGAATTCAGCACATTGTGCTCAATTCTTCAAAATCCTAAAAATTCCGAAAAAGTATTTTTTTTCTGTTTCAATGAATCTTCAGTAACAATATAGTTTTATCTCAAATATTGGATATCGTGTCCATTAAGCGAACATACGCATTTTTTCCAGTAATGACCCTCACAAAAGGAGCTCTGCTCCTTGTTGTGCTCTATCTCGGAGCCATGGACAATCGGTGGATGTTAGTTAACGCGTGGATTGTTTCCCAGAACAGGAGCATCACAAAGCTCCTGCCAATCGAGAGGATGC